GTAGTTTTTTTTAGTTTCTTGATAGTTTTAATTCATCTTTCCGAGTCTACTTGGCTAAAATTACCAAATTTGCTATTAATTTCCCAGTTTCTCTACTTTATTTCCCTTTTTTCAGTCTTCTTTTCGACGTTTTTCGGTCATTCTCTCGTCTTTTTGCAGCTGCCATTTTAAGTTTTGTCTGATTTCATTGGATTTTTTGCATATTTTGCTTTTGAGTTTTTATTTTTCAATTTTGTAGTTCTTTTGTTAAACCTTTGAATTTTTAGTCAGTTTTTAATCGCTTTTTTATTGCATAATGATAGAAAGTTTAAGTATTCAATAATATTGATTTTTTCTGTTTATNATTTTTTGCATATTTTGCTTTTGAGTTTTTATTTTTCAATTTGTAATTCTTTTGTCAAACCTTTGAATTTTTAGTCAGTTTTTAATCGCTTTTTTATTGCATAATGATAGAAAATTTAAGTATTCAATAATATTGATTTTTTCTGTTTATTTTTAAATTAATTTCGCTTTCTTCAGTCTTTTTCTGGTCGTTTTTTTACATTGGCATTTCTAAATTTGGCTAATTTCAGTTTATTTTAGTAATGTTTTGCACGTTTTGGTCTTTAGTAGTTTTTCTTGTTAGTTTTAATCGGTCACCGTTTGGAGTCTAATTGACTAAAATTACCAAAATTTGCTATTAATTTACCATTTTCTCAATATTTTTCGCTTTTTTTAGTTTTTTTTTCGGTCATTCTCTCGTTTATTTGTTGCTGCCATTTTACGATTTGTCGAATTTCAGGTTATTATAGTGATCTTTTGCATATTTTGCTTTTGAGTTTTTTTTGTTAATTTCGTAGATTTTTTTGTCAAATCTTTAAATTTTTTGTCAGTTTTTAATCAATTTTGAATTGGATCGTGATAGTAAGTTTAACTATTCAAGTATATCAATTTTTTGTTTTTATTTTTCAATTTATTTTGCTTTTTTATTTTTTTTGGGCTTATTTATCGTCTTACGCTGGTTTTTCTATCTGTTTTCCTATTTATTTCCCCTTTTTCGCTATTTTGTTCAATGTTTTTTTGTCATTTTCTGGTCGGTTTTTTACACTGTCCTTTCTAAATTTTGCTAATTTCAGTTTATTTTAGTAATGTTTTGCACACTTTAGCGATTAGTAGTTTTTTTGTTTTTCTCGTTAGTAAAATTAGCTGTTAATTTCCAATTTTTCCTTTTCCAGTCCATTTCGACGTTTTTCGGTCATTCGCTGGTCTTTTTGTAGCTGCCACTTTTGCATTTTTAGTCGATTTTTTATTGCATAATGATAGCAAATTTAACTGTTGAATAATATAGATCTTTTCTATTTATTTTTAAAGTTATTTTGCTTTTTTTAGTTTTTTATTAAATTTTTTTAGCCGTTTTCTGGTCGTTTTTTCAAACTGTAATTTCTAAATTAGTGGAATTTTTTGTCAGCATGGGTTTTTTCTTTTTCAATTTCGTAGTTTTCGTTTTTATTTTCTTGTGAGTTTTAATTCGTCATCTTTCCGAGTCTAATTGGATAAAATTACCAAAATTTGCTATTAATTTCCCATTTTCTCTACTTAATTTCGCTTTTTTCAGTCTCTTTTTCGACGTTTTTCGGTCATTTTCTCGTTTTTCTCTGAGTTCAGGTTATTATAGTAGTTTTTTGCATATTTTGCTTTTGAGTTTTTTTATTTTGGTAGATTTTTTTTTCAGTTTTTCATCAATTTTTAATTGAATAATGAGAGTAAGTTTCACTTTTCATGTATATCGACTTTTTGTATTTATTTTTCAATTTATTTCGCTTTTTCCAGTCTTCTGTTCAATGATTGTAACCGTTTTCTGGTCGTTTTTTTAAACTGTCATTTCTAAATTTGTCGAATTTGAGTTTATTTTAGTAATGTTTTGAACATTTTATTTTAGCAGTTTTTGTGTTTTTCAATTTCGTAGCTTTTTAGTTTTCTTGTCACTTTTAATTGGTCATCTTTTAGAGTCTAATTGTCTAAAATTACAAAAATTTACTATTAATTTCCTATTTTCTCTACTTAATTTCGCTTTTTTCAATCTCTTTTTCGACGTTTTTCGGTCATTTTCTCGTTTTTATCTGATTTCAGGTTATAATAGTGATTTTTTGCATATTTTGATGCGCTTTGATTTTTTTGTCACTTTTTAATCAATTTTTAATTGAATGATGATAGTATATCGATTTTTTGTTCAATTTATTTTGCCTTTTCTAGTCTTTTGTTCAATGTTTTTTGACCGTTTTCTGGTCGTTTTTTTAAACTGTCATTTCTAATATTGTTTAATTTCAGTTTATTTTAGTAATGTTTTGCACATTTTGCTCTTTAGTAGTTTTTTGTATTTTAATTTCATAGTTTTTTAAATTTTCGGTTAGTTTTAATTGGCCTCCTTTTGGAGTTTAATTGACTAAAATTACCAAAATTTGCTATAGTAATTTTTTGCATATTTTGCTTTTGAGTTTTCGTTATATTTCAATTTTGTAGGTTTTTTGTCAAAGCTTTACATTTTTGCTCAGTTTCTAATCTAATCATTTTTTTATTGGATAATGATGGTAACTAAC